TGAATTTGCGAGTAGAAGATATCCGTCGACTAGAAGTTTTCGATTATCGCAGTTTAGCCCATGTTGACCGTAGTGCAGTTACTGCGTCACTGGACTCCGATCTCGGACACATCTCCTCGTGGGGCATTGTAAACCACGTTTCGTTCAATAGTTCCAAGACATCTCTTTCAATTTCTTTAAAACACCATCCGTTCTCCCCCCAGTTATCATTTGATTCCACCCAACTGCGTTCCACATACTCTGTTTTTCTTTCTTGGACTGCCTATTACTTCTTCTTTATGCTGGTCCCGTTTTGTAACCAAGCTCGCTTCTCGTGCTGCGCGCAAGGTTGGATTTCTATTCGCGTATGACGTTTTTTCACCCCAGCTCATCTTCTATCGTACAAAGCTCAAATCCGCCCTGCTCTTGAATAATGTTGTCACGTGTGGGGTGGAGCTTCATCTTCTTCCTTTTCCCTTCTTGATCGTGTCCAACGAAAGGCCATCCGGCTAATGGACGATCCTTCCCCAACATCCAGTCTACAGTCGCTAGCCCATCGTCGGGTAGTTGCTTCATTGTCCCTCTTCTACCGTTACTACTTTGGTTTTTGTTCTTCGGAACTTGCCTCGGCAGTTCCTCTTCCTGCAACTTTTTCCCGTCCATCTCGTACACAGGCATCTAGTCATCCTTATCAGGTTTCTGTTCCCAGATGTCGTACCTCTCTACTCCAATCTTTTTTTTTCCCCCGAACTGCCAAACTGTGGAAAACCCTCCCATTTGCTATTTTCCCCCAACTTACAATCTCACACTTTTTAAAAGAATAATCAATAAGTTGATCTTACGTGAATGTTTCCTTTACTCACCCCTTTACAGTATGCTATTTGCTCATGGGGATCTCCCTGTTTACTGTAATTCACTTTGTGTAATGAAAAAAATGTTGGATGGAGCGAACGGGTTAGTAACGTGGAGGTAAGCCGTCGTGTGTTTCGGAATCTGTTAGGCATAAACCTGTTAGCATACCGAATTCAGATTACTAGGCTTCGGTGGCTAGGGCACGTATTGCGTATGCCCAGCCATCGTCTGCCGCACCGCGCATATTCGCTGTAGCTAATCCGGGCTGGAGGAAACCACGCGGAGGTCAACAGATGACATGGAGACGAGGCATGAAGAAATGCACAGAGCCATTAGGTAGAGTAGGTGTCTTGCCTTCCAGGTTGGGGTCCGAAAGACTCCACAACTGGTTGGTTGGAGACACTGAAGGATATGGCAGCGAACCGGCAGCAGTGGCGTTCTTGTCGTTTCTTATCAGGTCAGAATGCTTGAAACGGTATGTATGCAGAGTTCGATTGCGTACTCTGTGTGTTGACCATAGTGGCTCATCTTCGTCTCGCTTCCTCAAAATAGATCCAACCCCTGTCCACCTTAAGTTTTGCCACTAATCTTGTATGCATCGTGAGTTTGGCAGCGGTCAGTGAAGTTCGCTTCACGGTATTTCGCTGTACGATGAGGATGATGATGATGATTGCGGTAATACGTTGGTGGACTAGAACGCGTGAGAATGTGTGATTGTTTACTTTCTCATAATGTGCAGGTAATACCGGCAACTACCGTCCTGAGACTTGAAGTAGCGAGCCACACCGAGGACTCAATAGAACAAGCGTGAGAGTCAGCCGGGTGACAGCAGATCCGTCTGCCACGTGAATTACGAATTGCGTCTAACAATGCGAACCCTTTCACCTTCATAAAGACCAAAACTACTCTCGTATATCGTTTTGCTCCAATGACAAGAAAACTTTTATATCCATTTGCCACAATTCTCTGTGAGACTAGTTTCATTCATCTAAAATACTATTCACATTTTGGCCCATTCAATTTTCTTTCTTTTTTGCAGATATGTTCACTTCAATCATTGAATGGTTCTCTCAAAACAGTATAGTAGAGGGAATCGGCAATGAGTTGTTACTAGTTTGCAGTTTCCTCGGGTTATTTTTCTTTTTGGTTCTGGCGTGGATGTCAACCAGTGTTAGCTGGGAGTTCCTTCCTGTTCGTATTACAGTCGTGAGACATGCAAACGGGGAAACAGTTCAAACCGCATCACAAGGAGACGTTGAAGTTGAGAGTGATGAAACACATGCAACTGATGGAGAAAATGTTACATCAAACGAGGAGCATCCGGACTCTAGTAGTGACAGTGAATGGGAGGAAACCAACGGAGACCCACAGGAGTGTACTTCAAGTGAGTTTTGGTTAAGTTTTGTGCATTGCTTCGATTCTGCCGAACTTTAGATATGTGGGGAACCTAAAATGTATTTTTTCTCTGTCTCCATCCATTTGGAGAGTTATTTTGAAGTTCATGGATAAAGGAGTGATCAAAAACCCGTACTAACGATGCCAAAGCTGTTTTTGATGCCGGGTTTTGGAGTGCAGATAACTTGGTTTACGGTAACAGTTCGAGACCACATCCAATAACTGATCAACCACGGCCAATCGGCCTAATAGAGTACACGATATGCTAACCGATATACCATGATAATTATTGCGATCCGAACTCGCCCTAAAGCCTTATCCTCGTCAGGTTTCTAGCAAGTTCGACGTAACGGGGCTGGTGAATCCATGTTATCACCTTATTCTCCTATAATCGATTGATTGGAACTGACCATCCTTCAGACTTCACCAGCACACACATTCCTCAGCTCTTCCAGTCAACCATACACTCGACAGCGCTAGAATCAATTTTCGCTCTTATTAAAGCTCATCCGCAGTGCATATCCACCGTCTTGTCCGGGATGTAAACTACTATCATCACAGCCTTCGATAATTAATTTTTTGTCAGTATACTTTATCTCTGTAAGATGGCTAGAAGAGTATGACAAAAACATACTAGTGTTCTATATCAGTTCGACAGTATGGCAATAGTATAGAATCAGATCCACTGTAACCAATTTTTTTCACAGAAAACTTTGCAATGTAGTGACTATCACACCAACAGAAGCTAGGGCTTACAGTATTACACTTCGAAACCATGTTCTAGGTAATCAGTGAATAATTTGTAGAGCCCCAAACGAAATTCATTAGCAGTTTATAATAAAAAGCAAAACAAACGAGCCAACTTTCAATGTACACCGGTTTTTCATCGTCTTACTGCGGGGATCAAAGCGACAATCGACTGGATTCATAAATTATTTCGACTCAGTTGCATAAACCATTATTTGCGTTTATGCGCACAACTACTTCCAAGTAGTATTGCTAGAATTATATTACTTTGCTTTTGAATTGACTACGCATCCAGTTCACTCACACCATGGAGGTTACGTATTCGAGTTTCACTCACAGTCACTTATTCACCGGCCCGATCAGGGTTTGTTGTATCTTGGCGTGAAAATCGTGTGCGTTGACATTGCCAAACAGCTGTTCAAAATCGGATGTCATTTCCAGTGATTGCCTGTCGGTTATTTTGCCGGAGAACAACGAATGAATACACGGTATATTGTTGATTAACTCCAGTAGAATAAGCTCCAAAGTGGCAGAGCACCTGTCTGGGGTTCAACTCCTGAACAGGTTATTCTCACGCATCAGCAGCAAATCAACTACATTGTACTCGACGGTTGAAAGCAGTTGCCACGTCGTTGGCTATAAGCCCCACTTTTTGCGCGGATTGCTTCCCCTACTTGTCGGGAACAGGTGTCTAGCAAATGATATGAGCAAAACTCGTGTTCTGATTTTTTTCCATCTGCTTGATTGCACGAATAGGTTAATAGATTGTGTAAAGTTGTTGATAGTATTAATAGACCTAACGTTACCCATTTTGTCTTTCAAAGTGAAGCACATTCCCAACAGGCTTGATGCACAACCGCCTTTTATTTATTAAATACGGTAGACAATTATTGATTTTTTAAATTACGTGCACCCTTGAGTAGGTCGCTCTGATGATTGTATCTTAAGTGTGCCTGACTACACAGTAAGACAAATCGTGACACTACTTTTAAACATAAAAAGATCAAGTTATTTTATTGCCGCAACAGATTCTTCCGCGTTTTTAAATCAAAACCCTTCTGTCTTGCACATACCTGTTAATGACTATCCTAATTTTTGCTTTGATCTTTGTTTCTGGCTTGAAATTATCATCTGTACATCCCCAGCTGCTCACGAGTAATAAACAGACTGATAACTATGGAAATTAAACTTAATTCAGGCTTACCAGATTGTTCAACTCTGGATTTAAACGCCCAAATAGGTTTTGCATAGATACCGTCTTAAGGAATTTTGGTTACTAAACCGTGTGGAGAGATATAAAGCACCTGTTTTACAGTACCAATGGTCTCAAAAGAAAACCGTTGATGATGAAATACTCAATTTGGAGCTGAACCCAGTTTCACAGCTCATGGTTCTGCCTGCCTCCAATACCTTTAAACTACCACCAACTATCCAACCCACCGCGATCCTTCTGCATCTGCGAAAAACGAGAACAAATAACGCTTCTGGTTTGAGTTATCTGCCACCCATGGTATTCAACGAATGTACGAATGCCCTTTCAGTGCCTCTAGGTAGCATGTTCAATGATTGTTTAACAAATACAAAATTTCATGGTATTTGAGCCCGGATCAAAGAACGAACCTGGGATGTACCGTTCCGTCACCTGCTTATCAGTCATACTAGACTTGTTTATTTGACTCTTACTAAGGTGTTGTCATAGAATCCATCGAAGATTATTTCGGTTTGCTTATCGCTCTTCGCGCTCCACAATTGATGCCGTTGCTTATCTTGCTTGCTGTTCAGTAATGCAGCAAATAACCCGACAATATTGTTTCCGGATTTTAAATACCCAAACTTGAGAGGGATTAGGAAATTAAAAGCAAATTAGATGATGCGAATTGGTTCCTTTCCCGTTTACTTTCACGAGATGCCTCGAAATACCAGACTACCGTGTTTTCTTTGTTGGCCGATCAACCGTTTAAAGGTTTCTACTAATCATGAACGCATACCAACGTCCAACGTCACTGTGAAAAATTAGAGGGAAGAATGAAAAGATGATATAAAACTAGAGCCAAATCGGGAGCGCACATTTTGAGGACGATGGGTAGGGTGCGTTCCGGATCGTGTGGTGTTCTTTCATTCAGAAAGTTCAGGACTTGGATTATCCCAATTCTAATATGACGTAAGAAACAAGTGCGTTTTGAATAAGAAGGTGGATAAATTGGATAATTGGGTAAGGTGGATTTGGCGGCAAATCGAGCAGGAAAAACCTCAGCTCCCTCCTGTAGTCGATGCAAAGAGAGGGAGAGGGCCGTAGGGCGGAAATTGCTTTGTTAGGGAACCATAATGTTCGGCTACTGGTGGCGAACGGTACCATGCTTTTGACCTGACAGCGGAGGAAAAAATCTTTGGTTTTCTGTATAGTGTTGGAGCTCCTAGTCTTAGTTTGCTAAAAGCGATGGTGAGAGGCAGGAGTGAGTTAACCGCAGAAGGCTGAGCGTTTTAGGTGTACAGCACGATCACATTGGTGGCTAATCCACTGAGGGGATTTGGGTTTACCAGGTATGGAGAAGTGTGAAATAAAGCATCATGCCTTTAAGAACAATATCGGTGAAATTGGAGCCGTCCAAAGTGAAACAACAATCGTCCCAGGGATAAGAAACTTGCAAATCAAATTGGGTCTCGTGATGGGTGCTGTACAGAGGCGAGTAAACTCAATGGAGCAAAAAACACTACAGTGGTTCTATGACTCAAATGGAGAGGAAGAGGTGTCTGTTAAGAGAGAAAGGATTGAAGGGGTAATAAGTTTCAGACGTATCGGTGCGGTTGCCAGCTTGGTCGGGATGTTAATAAAGGTGAAATGTTCGGCTACACTTCCCCAAGATGGAGTAACAGAAGAATGTATCAACTATTCATAATTACGAACGTTGAAATTTAACAAAATGATAAAATGGAGTTGGGTGTCCGTAGTGAACAAGTGTTCAATGTTCGAAGGTAAAAGATTAAAGATGAAGGAGTCTCCATCATTGGGGGAACGATATACGACACAAAAGTAATAACTGAAGAAGGAAGTCGGAGCTTCAGCCACGTCAGCTGAAATCCAAGATTTGGTATTCTGGGGGTAACTGACTGATGGATAAAGGAGAAAACACCAGCCTCACATAGAGAGGAATAAAAAGTGCTTTCGAGTACTTGGAAGTGGGTGGTGTCCGGCAAAGTGGA